ATTGATACAGTCATTGTTAACAAGATTGAATGATAAAAGAATGAAAAAATCTGTAAATTTTATGTGTAAAACAACAAAATAATATAATGAATTCTGAAAAAAAGTATAATTTCCATGAAAAAACTTATTTACATTCGAAGTAAATGAAGGTTGATTGTATTTATATTATCATAAAGGAAATTACTAGGATACATTACATAAAAACTACATTACTTTTTTTGTCTAGCACAGAATCGTAACAAAAAAATAAAGAACGGAGTACAGTGCCAGCTATTTAAGATTTTTACTTATATATTTCTTAACGTAGTGAAAACTAGTTTTTCTATGCCTTTACTGTACGTACAATGTGAAATATCGGTTAATCCAAAATATTACACGATAAAATAAAGGATTTAAAAAGTGCCATTTTAAATTAATTAAACTTATAACTGCTTCACCAAACAGATATTATTCACAACGAATATTGCAATAAAAATTACTTTATTTTTAAAAACGTAAATTTCTTCCAAACAAAGAACTTTTGTATGAAAACAGTTTTGTTTGGAATTGAAAGATCTGTGTTACATAGATTTGGGCCTACTATATATAAGATGTTGGTGGTACAAGTAAAAAGTTTTAGATCATGTGTCGTTGTTGCAACCTGCAGCCTAGTTGAGGAAGCATATAATGCCACGGCAGTTGCATACACTCGGAAGTTTTACATTTGATTATATATTTTCATATTATACATCTTTGTTTTTTACTATAGTATTATTAGTTTCAGATATACTTTGAATCCTGTAGTGGTTCTAAATTCATTGTTTAATAAAATAAGCATTATTAACATTTTTAACATTATTAAGTATTATGTTGATTAAAGACTTTCAATATTTAAAGTTCTTGTGTTAATATTTTTAGATTCTTATTAAAACACGTACACTGTGAATGTTGCGTTGTTACAAGAACATTTAACTACTTACTATCTGAATTAATTGTTTAAAAAAAAAGAAACGGGCATGGCTAGGCAAGTTATGCATTCCAGATTTTTAAATTCTGGACAAAATTATTGCTATGTCAAACTTTTTTCACTTGTAAAATATTCACATTTTTTAAAGTATGAAAATTTTGGTTCCTATATCATTTGTAACAAAAAAATACTGATTAATAACATAGTCACATTTTTCACTGATATTAACCTAATTACTTATATAATGTTCTATTTTGTACTAAGATGTTTTTGTTCAACAAACATCTTATACGTAACATATCATATAGACACTAATAGAATATTTATAATTTTTTTCCACTTGTAAAAACTTGTTGGTTCAAATTGTAAATAACTCCTACTGTGTTACATTCTTTGTTTTGCAGTTACGATTCTGTGTAGAAAAGAGGAAAGTATTGTAGTTCAAGTGTACACTTCTGAGTATGCATAATCTTCCCCAATAATACGGAAAATATTAAACACATCCACACTTTTAGTCTGGATTAAAGTTAAATTTTTAATGGATTATTTAAATTCTTACGAACATATTTAAATTCTTAAGCCATGTCACTTAGTTTTTTTACTATAAATTCATCGTTGTCTATAATTCATAAATCCTATCATTAGTTAGCTAATGATCTTGTATCTCTTGTATCCCTTGGGAAGCTTTTTTTCTCTATTACGTAAGATTTTATACCAAAAACTTAAATGAACACGATATCATCCTTACGTTAAGTGACTGAAAGTGAGTTAATGGAAACAATGGCCGTTACTTGACAGTTCTTTTTTGTATGGTTAAAAACACGTTTATTAGTAACAATACATTTGTTTCAGTGTTCAATGATGACACATGCTGAGTTTTTACATAATCAATAGAAAAAAATTAAATATTCTGGAAAAACTCAAATATTTGCATTAGATTTTTGTGGCTTTAATTTTATAGTAAATATCTGTTTACTGCAGAGCACATTTTTTTTATTGAATTATGTGGTGCTCTGCTGCAAGAACTAAGTATTACAAATTGAATCTTATTGATTATTGAATTTTTAATCAGAAGGTGAATGGTCATCATATATCTTTTAAATAATCATACGAAGAAGAATATATCGATCTATTTACTAACAACAAGAAAACTGCGTGCTCATAAAACTAAAAGAAATACTATGATCTTCTTAGTTTCAGAAAAAGTTCTCATAATAGTATGACATATACCAGAAAAAATATGATAATATAATCTTGACTGAAACCAAAGCACACCGACTTATAACTAAAAGCAGTTAGTACTAACCAAGCAAAGATAAGGAGCGGCGTTGGCTCAGTGGTAAGCGTGCTTGCTACTGATACAACGCTGTTCTAGGGGTCGTGGGTTCGATTCCCGGTAAGTGCAGATTTTTTCAAAAACTGTTTTCACCAGAAAAAGTTCCTATGTAACCCCCGGCTGTTTCGGGGTGGGTTTTTCCGTGGAATTTTCCTTCAGAGTAATTCCAGGGTTTTTTCCTTGCTCCACAGGTCTTCGGGCCTGGGTGAATGCGAAACAGTGTTAGGGCCTCTCAATAGGTAGGGAGTAGCGGGCCCGATGCCAGGCAGGGATTGCCGGCCTTACCGGATGCTTTGGACCCAGGCTACACAGTGGCGAGTTGACCCGATGCACTTCCCCCCAGTGCAGAGTGTCAGCTTAACTGGCAAGGTGTGTTACACTGGAGATACTTCCACTATGCCCATGGTATGATTTGTATGGTATCAATTAAAGAGAAGATTTAATGGGTGTGGCAATACACCCCCACACATAGGTGGTGAGTGGGTGGCCCTGGCGACTGGGCCAATAGGCTGTCGCGGTAACCCGATATAAAAAAAAAAAAATAAAAAAAAATTAACCAAGCGAAGCAAGAGCATTGTTAAAATAAAATTTTAGGTTTGGAAAAGAAGGATGCTTAATCGCAGTAAGTTTTTTTGCTCCAGAAAACAACTAGAACGATAGGTAAATAATGTCTACCCGCCACAAATACAGAAGCGATGATTATAGTACTTTTATGTATTTATAAGGATACTCAACTTTGGTGATGACAAAAGACTCAAAAACTAAAAAAGTTAAACAATATTTATTGTACAATATATGTAAATAAATTTCTCATTTTTTTCACTCTTGTGTACTTTTTGTGAAGTCGATTAGTCTTTTAACTTGTGTACTTTAATGGTTTCATAGATTTATACACGATTCAAACTTAATATTTTGAAAGATATGAATTATAATATTTCAATAAAATGACTAAACAAATAAAAAATGACACAAATAACTATCAAGACATGATCTAAACATTTTAGTGTTAGTATTCCAAATATTTGTGACAATAACTATTGTTTCAATTGGTTCAAAGACATTATTAATAAATGATGTATTAAAATGAAATCTGTTAAACGTTGTAAATAATAAAATTTGCATCATAGCCAAGAACTGTAGTCACTAATAGTGACTCTGTACCTAAGAATAAAGTAGGTACCAACGCAGCACTGACAACTGTCTTGAGTCCCTCGTCCACGTCTGGATTCTTCTAGAAAAAAAGAGCATGCGCATGAGAGTCCTCTTGTCATACTAGGAGAACTAATAACTTAACAGCAGCAGGTCTCTTCCACTACATTTTTACTTCACTATTCATTACCTACACACAGTACTTGATACATTATACACAGTACTTTGTACAATTCTTTTCACTCCATGTCTTCCAAAACTGTTAGTACTTAACTTCAAACCACACAAGCCAGGAGCTCGCACCCACTCTACCCTGATCGTTCTGAAATAGAAGGGGCTTCTTCTTTATTAAATTGGAGTCGTCGTAACCCGCAACAATATATGCTTACACAGCTCGTCCCTTTCATAATATACCACGTTTTTTTGCTATACCTTCCCAAAACTACTGAAGGGTATTCACTCTCTCCCTCTCTTATTCTTATTCTCCACGTAACTGTTATAGCTCTCCCCCTCTACTTTATCTATATCTTTCTCTTCTCACCATACAAATTAAACTCCTCTCTCTCTTTCTCTTGCTACTTTTACCTCCTGGAAGAACGGCAGTAAGTCGAAACCTGGTTCGATGGCATTCTAAGCTCTCTTAATGGTGGTTCATCTAACGGTTTTCCTCTCTTACACTTTTTTTTTATTCCTAGCTTATTATGTCATCCTCATCCTATGACAATTATTGTTCTAGAATGAAACAGCATACCTACCCACATGCCCGTACACACCCACATACACACACCTCCACATTCGTCACCTGCTCTGTCTCTCTATCTCTCTGACTGTCTTGCTCTAGTTTAACACCTTACACCCCTTCTCAAGAACTCTCTTATACTCTCTCTCTCTCTCTCTCTATTTTCTCTCCTCTATGCTCCACAAAACTATTTCTACAAAACTGTAACTCTTGCTGTTCACACAAAAAAGAGCTCTCGCTTAAAGCCATATCTGCTGCCACTGCTGTTATCTACTGATACGTCTCTGTAACCTAGTTTGTCATCTATTAATATCCTCTCCTCCTCCTCACAGCATTAAAAGTACATTTATTACATGTGTTTAACGGCTCAAGAAATAAAAGATAATGATAAAATGATCCTCAACGCAGATAATCAAACTGTTAGATTTTTTATTAACTGAATTAATAATCAATCGCTCTCCAATTTAAAAAAAAAATTATAATACTTACTCCTCCTATCAACTTATACAAGAGATATAATAGACTGTTTCTCTACTTGTCAACTCTGCAGATCTCTGAAGTCTTTATAGTATTAGTGGATCAGACGTGTTTTTTAATTGAACATCAACTAAATATGCAAAAAAATGGCCCAAATGACTGATGATAATGAAAAATTCACAGTAGACAAAGCAGATAATGTTATAAAAACTTTATAGTTTCACCTATNCTGTAAAAAATATTCATAAATGCTTTAGATATTTTTCATTTATAATATATTACTTATAATGAAAATACAAAGTCCATGATAAATAAAAAATCAAGACAAACAAGTGTCAAAACTTTAAATTTACTTACCCGCGAATCATTCTTATTATTGCTAGTAACATTATTTTTGAAAAAATTATCAAACAGTGGTAACTCATGGGCATTGTCATGGTAAGGTAATACAGTTACGGTAAATTTATCGAAAAATTGTTTTTCTTTTTCCATCCGAGCGTTAGCAGGCCTTGTCCATTTACTTAAACTAGAGTTTATTTTCTGTTCTTTTCTTAGTTCACTTGGTAAACCTTGATAAGTAATGAAATATAATAAGTTTCGTATAAGTAATGAAAAGAAAAAGTTGCTTACCTATAAGTTTATTTGGTAAAAGAAGAAAACAGTAAATCGATATGCTAAGATTCCAAAATAAGAATCGGAATACCATGCTTTAAGCCAATTAATAGTAGAGTATCTGAAAACAAAACCATTATACAAGTATAGACTTTAAAAATCAGAAGTCAGGATACCTAATTTATGAAAAAATTAAATCTAAGTGCAATAATAGGGTACGCCTTTTCTATAAAAGTGAAATATAATTTTATAAAATATGATTAATGGGATTTTCTTAGTTCAAGCAACGTTTTAACTTTTTAATAAAAAGGTTTTAAATCCTTATTAGGCTTGATTCCTTAGTTAATCTATAATTTATCATCAAATCCATAAAACTGTAAGATCGACTCTTCGTTGCTGCATAGTAAAAACAGTATACACATCCACTGTGCTCGTCAATATTTGCGAATTTTTGAATTACTTCCAACGTTGGTGGATGAGGCCAGTTTTTAAATTCAGCTTCAACTTAAAACGAGTTTAATGCCTTTAATAACAGCAGGTGATGATTAATTTATTGTTGGCATAGTGGATTATATTGTCGAATATTAATACCTTTAGAAAAAAATTTCAGCTCCTCAAAACGAAGATTTAAGACCCTTATCAGGTTAAATTTCCAAACCAATCTGCTATTTACCAAAGTGTAAAAAAAGGTACGATATACTTTTTATTGCCCCATACTAAGAAGATCAAGAACAGCTGCTGTGCTCGTCGATACTTAATCAATTTTTTTTATATCTCAAACTATATTTCGTTGCGTACAGAACAAAGGTTCAAAGATATTATGAGGTTTGATCTTAAAATGGTTTTGCGATTTATCGCAATATAAAAAAAATAGTAAAATCCTTTCTTTGTTGCCACGTAGTAATGGTATCGAAGACAGCCACTGTACTAGTCCTAACTTTTGCGGACCTTTGAATTACTTCCAGTGCTAAATCTCCAGTAGCAGCTGTAAATTTTACTATGTGGAAACAAAGAAAAAATCGTACTATTTCTTGTATACTGTGAGAAATTGCAAAGATATTTTAAGATTAAAACAAAGCGGGGCCTTAAATATTTTCTTTGTAGGAGCTAAAACGTTGTTCAAGAAATCCAAAGTTTTGACAGCATACTTATCTTCATCTATAATAATCTTACATTAATTATATGCTATGTTTGTACAAGATCATCTAAGATGTACTGTTTTTTTTATTTACAGACCATTTTTTTATCGTTGCAAATAAACATAAAAATTTGGTTGTTTGGATGAGCCTGAGGTGTTTATTTCCATTAAAGAATAAATAGTACATCAAAAGATGATATTACATGCTAGTTAGATCAAATTTAAGTTAACTACTTTTTCATTTGAACAAAAGAGATAAAGATCTTTAACTGGAGTTAAATTCCTGAAAAAAAAAATTCGAAAAAACATTATAAGCATTATATACTTATCCAATAACTATTGCGATAAACTAAGATTAAAAGGTTTTTTTTGCTGTTGTATAAAAAAGACACTTCAAAAATTATGGATTAACACGACTCATAAAACTGATCCATATTATTATAAAAATATTGTAATATGGCTAAAAATATTCTTATTACTAAGTTTACACAGAAAAAAAGTAACATAATAATAAAGAATAAATAGGTTATGGTAAAATTTTTTTTTGCAGATAGTTTTAATACTAAAAAATTTATAAAAATCTTTAATAAAGATAAAAAATCAGCCACTAAAAACCAAATCTAAAAAACTGTAGGAACCACTTAACTAATGCTATATGTTTAATTCTTTTTATTTATTGTGTTTTCCTGTACATTTTTTTTTATTTTTATCGATGATAAATTTTTTTTGTACAGTAAAATGTCTAACTTTTGTCTAAATGTGCTCATTTATGTTGCGTTACACATTTCAAAAGCATTGTTGGTAGCACTGAGTCAGAATTACGGCACAATCTCACATTAATGTAGTTAGTGTAGCAAATTTTAGTCTTTATGTCTTAACATATTGAAAAAAGCGGATTATTGTGACGTGCGAAAAAATTCCCGTGTTTATTATGTGGTTGTCATAATGTGTATATAATATTTTTATTAAATTTATGAAGTTTAAAAAGTTACGATAAAATAATTAAATAGCCATTGGCAAAAAGTTATCATAAGCATGATGATGAGAAATTAATTAATACATATATGCTTTTGATCAAAAAAAATTTTGTGACCATAACTCAGTCTTAAAATTAAAAAAAAATTTAATAAACTATCTAAATCCTGTTTAAAATGTTTTGTTATTAAATTTTTCTGTTAGGAAATGTTCTTTTTCATCTTGGTTGTCTAATGACAACCTTTATTAAATTGGAGTCGTCGTAA